GAGGTGGGGGAGGTGGGGGATTCACGGTTCGCAATAGGAAGGTACAAAGTAACAAAGTGGTGGGTGGGTAGAAATTTGAATCACCAACCAGTACTGGATATAATCTCTTATCTTCACCAACCACACTACAGAGTGTCTCTATCTTCTCCACGTATAATGTAACCATTAAATCCCATACCCCTGTGTCCCCCTTATCTAAGTGGTGCAATCGAGCTTGCAATTGACTTTTTGCCCCTCACCTCCTCTATCCACCGAGAAAATACGTGTATCGCCAAGTTACACTGGGGCGTGTCTGACTGCACACGATCTAAACCACTGTTATAACCTTCCTATTCACCCCAATCCACCCACCACCAACTCCCTGGTGGGTGGTATATTGCAGTGTCGTCTCATCCCTCCCATTTTCTCCCTCAATACCACGACAAACTTATTGGCGACATATGCGAGCCCTCACCCTCTCACCATCGAACCTATGAATATGCAGGAGTGAGCGTCGAACGAACCGACGATATTTCAAGTAAAGTCGCCTCGGGCGACACTAAATTCTATCCCTCACCAAAAAACCCCCTACCATCCCTCGATACGTAACAACAAGGGTGGATATATGTGTCGAGTATAAAAGGAGCGATGAGGAAAGGTTACAGCTCGTAACCCTCCGTCAACCAGTATTGAGCAAGTTGAAGGGAAAGAGCCATGGCTTCGTTTCTCCTTTCACTTGGTCGTCAAGTTGGCGAGAGGTTGGCAATCGCGTCGTGATATTAGAGGGATGAAATCCCTCCGGGGTAACCGTGGACAGCTGGTTCGAATTAGAGGAAAATTGAAGTGGCCGTCATCTCCGGGGATTTGGGAGATAGGGGGACGTCGTCACGTATCGATTCGATCGGTCTAGTGGGTCATTATCATTTCGGTGAATTCATTTTTATCGTTGGCAAATTCCATTCAACCGGGTGTAAACACCTTTCAGGGGAGAAGGAATGAATTTTTGAAATATTCAATATCTACGAATATCAGTGTTCGTGCTTTCAATTAACACCTCGGTTATGGGCCAATAAGGCCTCTCGATGAGGGCCATTAAAGTTACCCCAATCATATCAGGCAGGTGGGGGGAAACTGGGGCTATTAATTATTTCATATTCGGGGTTAGGGCAGAAACATTAGTCAACAGCTAATTCTCATTTCGTCAAATTCAATATTCAATATTCTTTTTAAAAAATGACTATACACATATGGTATGTGTATAGAAATATAAATATTTTACCAAATTGTTCACGACATTTTTTTTTCATTGAAGAAATTTAAATAAGCCCCTTTTTAAAATATTTTTATGTGTATATGATAATCTTCAATTTTTTTCAAGTCTCAAAATTGATTTTCCCCTTCACAATAAATCTTCGTCATCCCTAGGAGCAATATCATGAAATAAAATCCCAATAGTAAATATTAAAAGCCCGTTTTTCAAGTCGATCCCCTCCTTCCCATCGCTATCATCATCCGCCAACCGGCGAAATAACGCCCGTCACTCAAAGGGATAAAAATATTGAAAAAAAAATGGCCTGATGTCGTTTAGTCGTCGATGTCCGCACTGTGTCTATCACGAAATCAATCAGAACCGCATTTGTCCAATTTACTCACGTGAAAATTTGAAAATCCTCCCCCCAGCTACGAACGCACAACTGTCATTTGCCTTTTTTCCCCTCCCACCATCATCCTCCGCTATCCATTTTGCAACAGCACGCCACTATACAATTCCACGTAGATACGTGACAACGTCCATTTGATTCGAGCAACTTTCCCCTGCGATTGGCACTTAAAAAATAAAAATCCATGGTCGTTAATTATTTTATAATTCCCAATTTCATCATCCACGAATTATTAATTGCAGTGGAAACACTCCATCACCGAAAACTTGAGTGAAAAGCTTTCCATTATCCCCCATTTGGTAATTGGCAACTTCTCATTAACCGTAATTGATAGCTCGAGGGCAAACGACTAAAGCAATACACAATAGTCATGAATTGAAAAGTTGGTACCCAAAAACTTATTCCAAACTTACAGTCATTGTCCTTCACTTTGCATTATGAAAATGAGGAATTTCCCATTAGCTCGACTACTTCATTGTCATGTAAATTCACTGGTACAAAGATGGCCGATGGAGGTGGTAGGATTATCATTGCGGCGAGTTGAGCGTTTTGCACGCTTGACCGAGTTACCCTGTCCCATTCCACTCTCATAGCCATCTTTCTTCTTCCTCTCGTGTCGCCTGTCTACACTCTATGGTGAATTAAATCGCAACACACATAACGCTCCATGGATACCAAGAGGAAGACGGAGGACAGTGCACAGAGTAAAATTAAACCAACTCTCGTGCTTGGAGCCACTACTGTCTCTCGCTTGTACACTGTCTAAATAGAATTAGCATTTTATCGGATAGGACCGGATGAAGCGGTCGGTAAAACGAACCTCGCGGGCTTTCCAAGTAATGCGATCCCAGCCCACATCGAGATTCCACGCCTGATTATTTTATTTCCATCGCACATGTTTTTTCGTTATTTCTCTTGATTTGCCTCTTGATTTGCCTCTTGTTTTTTCTTCCCTCGCTGCACCCGAAAAAATAATTTATTCCAGCCAAATAAAATTAATCAACTCGGTCAACATTCAACTCTCTAGCCAATGCAATTTTGTGTCATTTGATTATTTTTGGGATAAAATAATTTTTTTCGCGGAACTCCATAAATATTAATTAATCCTTTGGTATTATGGGATTGTCGGTGCCATCGAATAAGTCAATTAATGGGTGAACTCTGGAAAGGGAAATTGACGCAACATATCAATGCGCGAGGTGAAGAGCAGCAAAATTATCAAGGCTTAATCCCCCTCGCAATGAGAATCGCAAGCTCCTAGTCATTGTTTCCGGTGATTGAACATAGACCAGGAGAGAAATTGTGGAAATAATCCCGGGGAGTTACTGTCAGTCATTTCGTGATACATGTAGCTGACGGCTTAGACAGATTCACCTGTTCATTTAAAATCCCATCAGACATTTTGAGCCTTCCATTTTTAATTAAATCCAACGTATCGTATTCTTAATTAGAACAATCTATTCACGTAATGATATCCAAAAGAGAGAAATATTTTGAGTACACTATGAAAAAATGTTGCCTTCTATAAATACTGTTTTCGCCATCGTTCCCCGAGACGATCGAAAATCGTCAACCGGAATTATCCAAATTCTGATTAATCCAGCTCTCTCCCAATGCCATGTAAATTATAGACTTTCAGGGATGCGTAAATTCCAGCAAAAAGAGTGGGAATAGTTAGCGCGTATATATGTCTGCATTATGCCCTGTTTGCATTGGGATTACGACAGTAAAGTACGACGGGCGTGACCTCCGACCCTCTGACCGTCCTGTGTTTGCGATTGCCCGTTTTGTGGTTATTGGAGGGCAGTCCCTCTCTCTCATCTACACTGGGTTCTCAACATTTGTGTTTAGCCGTAGATCGTACATGCACACAAAGGACAATACACATACGTCCAAACAGTGGCCAAACGATTATGCTAAATTATTGTTTACAGCCGCTCGTATCCTATTTGTCTGTTGGCGTTGTGTTTGGTTTGCCGGGCGCCAGTTCAACTGTATCTTTAGCTGACCACTTGAATTCTACCACATGGAGAATAATGAGCATCATAGATACGTTGGCAGAATTGTTTTACCCAAGTTTAATCATTGGCTATTCCACAGTTCAATTGACATCAGGATCACTCCGAAGTGAAGATACATCATCACTTTTTTTTCTTCTAAATTCATTCCAGAGTCTTCCGTTCTATCTATCCTAAGCACAATGTTGTATCAACGGCATCACCTCTTTATCCATCGTACAGCATACTTCAGGCATGCAGCGTAATAGAATAATCACGTTCCATCGCTTCGCTGAGATTGGCGTACTTAATTTGCTTCCTGAAATTACTACCAGATCGATAACACTGGCTTTCCGTTTTCAACAGAGCCTTGTCTCAGACCCTTTAGCTCACCAAGTATATTATGCGTTTAAGTAACCGGGAGCCTCCATCAGACCTGTTGCTAATGTTAGAAACTCCCGAGGGATATCGTCACCGAATTATTTTACGAATGAACTCTCAACCATTGACGTCACTTATAATCTAGAATTACGTGGCATCTCGTGATTACAATACCTGTCCCCATCATCAATCATTATCTTAAATAGGCTAGCATTAGGGTAATGAGACAGCTCGTTACAATTTGAAGGATGATTGTTTTCCAAATTCGCGGACTCCCTGACAAAATAATAGTGCAGCTGAAATTCTCACAGCTGATGGATTTCCCATGCTAGGTGAGTACTCAAAACCCAAAACACCATTTCCACGGACACGAAAATACAGCATCCTTCGAAAATAGACGGGATGACATGAATTAGCAATTTGCCGAGGACTAAACAAAACAGGGGCTTTTAGCCAGTGTTCGATAGTTGTTGAATTTCCACACACCAGTGATTAATTTAGCCATCACTCAAAACGAATGGATTTCATCAGATGATGACGATATCAAATCGATGGATTTACTGGAGTTTCATTTGAATGAAGCGATATCGGGGATATCGGGAAGATGGAAATGTTTAATTCACCGTTTTTCCAGTTGTGGGATAATTGGAGGTATTTGGATAGGTGGAAAATCCTGTTGCAGTTGGCCATCTAGCGAGGAGCAGTGAATCAGATAGATGTTGGAAGGGCGGGTTATGTCCCTCGTGCCGACGAGTCGACGTGATCGAAATAACGAGGTAATTGGAGCGTTCAGACGACGCCAGACACGAAGATAGAGAGAGATCAAATTCCCAGCGTTTCAGGAAGGAAGTGGGGGATTCCTCTTTCATGTCCCTGAGGCTTACGTTCTGGAATAGCGAGTGAAAAAAAAAATTGGTCCTAGTTGGAAATATGCGGTAGTTAACAACGTGGATCAAGTCTTTCGAGACGACAGAGAGAATGTAATTAGAATCACTTGTTCTGGAAAATATCTGCCTTTTCTGTTGTAATTGTTTATTTTCAGGGGCTCGGTGTAAACTATTAGCAGTTCATGATGCAGTTGTTATCTTCATATTCTTGCATCCTCATTAATTTGAGTTATCGTGTTGGTTAGATTGTTCGTACAAGTGAGACGTTAATCACGAGCTTAATTTGGTCAGGTAAACTTGTAATTTTACCGCTTAACTAGCGGTCAACCACATATTCCGTACAAACTCTGATATATACAGGATACAACCGCCTGCAGCAGTTAAAGTTACTGGATACTCTCGTAATCCTTTTACACAAATTCATAACTTCCACGTGAAGTGATCCACATTTAAAAAATGTGCAAAAATTTTCATCATCAATCAAAATCAATTCGAGGCATGAATATTTAAAGTTCGTTCACTGTTGACACTGGTCAATTATTAATATTAATTATTCTCTGGGGAATAATTACTCGGATTCTAAATCCACAACTGACGGTGTTACTAGTAATTTCATTGTCCTGTATTCAATTTGGGTTGCCTCATTGATTTTAGTTACCAATCAATGTAATGTTTTTGATAACGATCACAAGCTGATGAATAATACACGGTAGTTTATCAATGCATTCAGCGTTAATAGTCGAAACAATCAGTTTTACCATCTAATTATCAACTGTTGAGTGAATAAATTATCCTCAGCGCCCATAAATTTCACGTATTTCGAGTTACCTGGAGAGAAAAAAGTAGTAAATAATAATGGGCGCCATCTGCTAATGAAAATGAGTTACAATTCGTTTTCCGCGCTTTATAACACCTTTCATTAGCGTTAGTTATCGGAAAAATTTTCCCTCCTTTTTTTTCCTGAAACGTGTTCCTTTCGCTCCAATTACTCGGCTGTTAATTAATTTGTACTATTCTGCTCTCCACGGTGGTGTATGTATTCAAGGTCAGGAAAGAACGATTGGTATATTGAAAAGGGATGATGAATCACAGCGAAATAAAACAGAGATGACGATAACAAGGATTCATCATTAAAGGAAAAATTCAATCGTTACACGATGGTGTGTTTCTGATTGACGGACGATTAAATTTGATTGACACAATTGTTCTATGGAGAAATTCAATCGACAGTTGATCATGTGCTAGTGACAATTTTCGGTGGAAAGAAAATTTAATAATTCCAAAGTACAATCTGATGGAAGCGGAAGGAGAGATGAATGACTAAATGATAGATTCAAATCCGTATCTAATTTCAAATGCTCCATGAATAATTTGGATAATTTCCAGAAGCACCTCCCCACGGAATTGAGCAAAATTGGATAAAAATAATGGCCCTCGGGCCGAATATGTCAATACCCCCTAGAATACTTGTCATCAACCAATGAAAAATTGACGGAAAATTCATCTCTTTCTTGAGACGAATTTAATTCGATGAAAAATAGATAGGAAGAGTATCACGTGAAATCTTGAAGCCTTCACGAGGCGATTCAATCTCTAGTGGATTATAATCTCATTGGATTCTGGCGATTGGATCAATTCTCAAGTGGAATATCCAACGAAATTAGATTGGAAATACACGTTTGCAATATCGAAATTGTGTAGAATCAACGATTGCCTTTGGACGTACTGTTAACTCAGTTGCATTGTCGGTGCTAGTCTCTAGATTGGCGTATAGCTTCCCTTTGGAAACAGTTGCCGTGTCACATGGTAGTACATTCAAAGGATTATAGAGGCTCGCGTGGCCCGTAGGTATGCCAACGCGTAATTACTCACCATGTTACTAACCTAGATAATGGCAATCGAATTTGAAGCAAATCCGACGTTAGACACGACGTGATATAGGTCTTAACTCCCCAGTGACACGGACTACCACCGACTGAACCAATAGACGAGTGTGGATTCCAATGCTCCATCGACTAAACCACGATGAACTCCAATACAAGAAATAAATCAAAACTAGAATTAATTCGTCAACCGTTCGATCCACTGATTCAAATCATTCAACATTATGGCTAATAGGAAGGGATGAGTTTACTGGGCCCCTAATCACACACTATGCACCAATATCCTATGATCCAGTGTAAACACCCGCAAGTCTGTCTTCCGTCCTATATTTGGCTAGTTCTGTACCCCAAAGTAGTAGTCCAGATTGCCTACCCTCAACCTCATCAGCTCCTCTGAGAATACTCAATCATGACAAATGGGAATATCAAATATCCACAAGAAAAATAATCAATGCTGTGCTCCCATTAATTTACAGAAATCCAAACGTCATGGAGTACCATGGGAACAAAGCGGATGGACAAATGCCTATGACCCGTGAGAAGAACAGATTTCGATCGATAACATGGGAGCAGTACGACCCGGTGCATCAGAAATACCTCGAAATCAGTAAGTTATTGACCAATAAAAGTTATAAAAACTCATTAAAAAAATGAAGCGTTTGATTTTTTGTTTGTCCGCAATACTGTGATTGTGTCATTTGGTTTTTTTTTTCCACAATTTGGAGGGATAGCTAGTAGATAGCGATAAAAAGCAGTGATGCTGGTTGCATCGATTGAGTACCATATTGCTAGCTCAAAACTCCAGCCAACGTGAACCTCTCACAACGGTCAAATAACAAACGGCTATCATAACTATAACCTTTGGACTCCATGGATAACTGTGCGTTACCATATCCATGGTCAAACCAGTCTCGATCGTTATATTGGGGGCTATTGCAAGCCAATTGGTTTATACAGCCTGCAACCTTTGACCACACCAGATCGCTCGCACTTATGTTGCTGTCCATCGTTTTATGCGTCAATGTGGAATCATAGGGTCGCAACCAGTTGCGTTACGCACAGCTGACTGAGTGATTAGTTTTATAATTCAATGGTTGAATTTACGCAAGGTGTCATTTTTTACCGAGTCGTTTTACGACGAGAAATGGAAAAGCTGTTAAATTTACGATAGGTGAAATAGATTATCCATTTTACCTGTTGAGATAACTTCAAAAAGCATTTGATGAATTTAATGGGCAATTTTTTCGTTTGGCTTTTCATCTCGTACTCGCAATTCTCATTTAATTTCACACATCACATAATTAAACATTTTGTAGCCAATGAGGGCACATCTAGAGTCTAGAATTGACAATTTTTAGTTTCACGAGGACGAGTATGTGTGGAGAAATGGTAAACCCTTGGTGGAAAATTTTCACCCCGATTTCGTTGGGAAAATGTAAATCGAGGAGTTCATGCGAAAATATATAGGTACCTTCAGCTGGAATCGTGGCAAAGGGACGGTCTACCAGTGACGATCAAGTACGTGACATCCGACTGTCTCAGAATTTCAAACTTCTATGCTCATCACATGGGAATTTGACACTATTCCGAGGGAAGAAAGTACATGACTGAAGACAACTCCAGTCTGGCTTAAGATTTTATGAAGCCAGTGGAGTTGTCGAGCGATGAGTAAAAGTTGGCTGAACGGTTCAGGAGTTTTCCTCGGTAACGAGAGAAATTGTCACCCATTTGCTCTGATGACGGCTACAATTTTTCGATTTTTCTTTCCGCTATTTTTTCAAATAGGATACAATGAATGAACTCTTTGAATTAAGCTATACCGAACTTTTGTACTCAAAAATTACTGACGCTGTAGTAGCTGAAATAATGAGAATTACGAATTTTCATTTAAACTCTTGACCCCTTAACTCTACCACACCCCATCCTTGCTCCATTCCACAGCCATAAACCGCTCCTCCCTGGTACTTTGCTTTTACCGAGATTAGTCGAACCCCGAAAAAGTAACTCCACACGTATACGTAAAAGTTTGGTAAATTTATGGCTAAATATTGAGACACAGCATCTTGTTACCAGTGCATCCCCCGCTTCTACGTTTATCCCTTCATTTTTTCCCATTTTCAAGACAGTAACCTCTTATCTAGATGCATCTAATGCGCTTTCAGAAAGTTTTCCGTTGAGCTTGCAGAATTTTTCAAAGGGAAACTTCTGAGAATTAGTATTTCAACATAAAAGTGTTGGAAATAAAGAGTAAAAAAAAAGTAATAGGGATGAGAAAATTTTCTCATCTTCTCCTTTAAAGTCGAGGGATAACCACTCTTTAATTATAATAATCCTTTTTGTCGCAATTCTTCTTGTGAACTCACTAAATGGAGAAGTGAATGAAAAAGTCGGTGATATTTTGGCGCATAAAATATTTAACGCGAGTCATATGCGATGACTTGAGATTTTATTTTGTCCATAAAATCAGAATGAAGACAAATTTATGTTATTCATCGAGATGACAAAGTTTTTACTCATACGTAAGAAGCTGCATCTTCATTCCCCTTCATAAATATTTTATTGGGGTATAAAAATTTTTTTGAACTCAAGAAAAATAAACTAGACAACCACACCACCAGGTTGATTTTGCCAAAGTACCAGTACCAGTTACCTCTAGTGGTTTCAGACATATAATCGAGATGAAAGACTCAAAAGTTTCGTCAGCTCTCGCCACCAAACTTTCCCACATAAAACTAAATGAAAATATAAAACAAATTGGGATGATGGATATGCAAGGCCCCATGATCGATAGAACGCACTCTGAATTTTTAAACTCCATATAAACTATGCAATAAATATAAATAAGAATTTTCATCGAAAAAATCAAGCAACAGTGATTACTTTCCCAATACGTTTCCCCTAAATATACAATTCGATTACAACTGTTGTGTAAAGTGAGTTGAAAGGCAATCGAGTGATGTAATGGTCCGGTAAAATGCACGTCAGTCGTTAGAGCCCCATTAGAAGTGTCGAATGCAGTGAAGCTTTAATGGGTACTTCCGTAACTGGTCAATGAAACAAGAGAAAGATAGAGAAAAAAAAAAGATCTTGCTCATGTTTACCCCCTGTTTGGGAAAAGCTTCAGTACCCAAAAAAATAATTTACCGTCTTCACCCTCATTTTACATGATTCGACACTAGAATTTTCAAAATGTTAAAATCCTTCGTGAAAATTCAATTGACATTCAACTCACACAGAATAATTTCCACTCCTTTAATTCCAAAGGAACTCTCCCACGATATCATCATGAAGTTTGCCATTCTAATTATGCCAATGTAAACAGGGTGGAAAGAAAAGATGAAAGTACTCTGCATACATCAACTGACCCGTTGATGAAGGGTAATTGAAATTTTCAAATTAAAGACAAAGACGTCACCTAATTCTGAGATATTCAACTTCTTCAATTGTACGAGCGCTCAACGATGAAAAGGAGAATCTGAAAATGGTTTACGTGACCGCAATATGAAAATTAAACTCATCACTTGAATCCATTCAATCTTCTGATTCGTGTCACGCACTTGGACTGATTCAGAATCAGCTGGTCATCTTATTCAACTGGATGAATGAAAATTTTTCCCCTCCGAGAATCCAATCCTGGTATTCTCCTCCATTCTATTCTAATGACGATCACTATTTTTTCGGAATAATTTATCCATTACCTCAGCCATTAGAGGATGAGAATGAAGCGAAGATTTCTTCACCCTCTTACCTCTGGGTTAACGCAGATGAAAGATAAATTCTAGTCCATCATCCCTCGACCTAATTTTTCTTCCCAACGAGAATTTAATCTGAAATCGAATTTATGTCAAAACTCAATGAATATCTTCCGCTTTGATATGATTTCCTTTGTTGAATAGATGTTGGTTGCCCTCAAAACACCGAGTAGAAGAGTTCTGTATCACAAACTCCATTGAATTCCTACATCTGGGGTACACAAAGGGTTTGTATGTAGACAGTGCAGCATAAATCTTCGCAGTGTATCTCTTAAGGCACGCATACGTGAACACGTAAATTACAATCCTCAAATGTGTGTGTGCAGTGTTCTCTTTGTTAGTTCATCATGTGTAACACTTGGAAACTGTATAATGGTCGCTGTGTTGGTGATGGCCTCATCCTGATGCGAATAATCGTCAGAGCTTCTCAAAGCCGGTTGTTTCACTGGGGATCATGTGCCTTGAACTTCAGTATCTTACGTAATAACGACTCATTTGATACTCGTAAGAAAACGATTACAGGGATGAGGTTTCATCTGGCAAAGTTCAAGGGGAGTTTCGACCTCGTTAACTGTTGATATTCGATCCAACGATTACGTCGAGCCAAAATCAACGAAATTATTTATCCAGCTGAGATGAATTTATTCAATTTCAATGAACACCTTCACTCAACTTTTTAACATTGTCATTTTTCTTTCCATTTATATTGATGGAGTGAAAGTTTCATTAATTAATTGTTTCATGAGGAAACTTATCCACCGAAGTTACGTCCCCCAGGAACCCCAGATGTTCGATCGAAAACATGAATTTTCCAATACTTCAGGGAGGAAGGCTTAAAGCCACCCACTTCCTTTTTTTTTCAAAGGAGAAGTTTCTCTATACATTTCTCCCGAGCTTTGTGAACAGGCGACACTGCTGAGGCGAACGACTCACCCCCTTCGGATAGTTTCTCACAAATCTTGTCGTAGGAGTTTACACTGCAGTGTATATAGTGGCTATCGAATAAACTTGTTTACCCACTTGTGCAAAATACCCACCCGGATTACCTTTATTTTTACCTTTCCAACTTGAAACAATATTACTTTCATTGTTGCCAGATTTTTTGTCACTGCAGTTCAATTCGACTCACGTAATTTTATAAGAGAGAAGTTCACTTAAACTTTCTACTGTGTAAAATCGACTTTATCCAACGCTGAATAATTTCAACAATTGTCCTATGTAAAAGGTAGACGGATATGTATATCGAATCGAATCGGAAACTCTCGAAAGTTGAAGCCCAGTAACTGTCGCACTCATTACCTAGCAGGAAATTAATTTTCCTGCTGTAATATTTGCAAGTAATAATTTTTTCATGTAGTAGTATTTTTCTGTTGTGATTTTTCACGGTCATATTTTATTGGCTGTTATTTTGATAGGTAACCAGTTAATTTATGCCGACTACATTCACATGCACAACCTCGAATAGAGCACGACCACACATTACATAAACTGGAAACACGCCACAGCGGGACATTACATCGTAAAGGGTGATGGAGGTATACTCATCAGCATCGCCATAACCATCGACGGTTTAAACTGCTCCACTGCTGATACCTCCGGGTTGGGGCAGAGAGAAGAATCCCTCCAACACCCGCCCTGGTCATTCGAGTTACTATCGTTCAACATCACATTGCTACCTGTATTACCCGTGTAACGAATTCTCATTGAGTCATTGTCAGTCCAAGTACTACCCACCATTTTCCAAAATCAAATTTAACGACACTCGTTCATTAACAGGAGGTCAATTACCAAGATAAATCAGCTTAACAGGAATTTTCCAACTTGTTTCATTACCGCGTCGTAAAATACATCAGTG